CCCAAAAAGGTTAGACACTACAGAGGACCCCAAAACAGTCACATTAAAGAGGATCAGGGCCCCTTGTGGGCAACCCCCTTTGTGTGACTGTGTGCCCATACTTTGTTGTAAAGAAGCTATCTTAAATTTGATGGTTTGGGGACCACTTCAAAAGTCCTTATGTTTGCCCGGATTTGTTTGCTTGTTTGTCTTGCTCGACTTCTTTGCCAAGTTTGTTTGGCCCATATTTTTTCGGAGGCTTAGTCCAGCCTGGGCCAGACAAGATCAGGAGAGTAAAAAGCAGGTTTTTAGATTTTTACAGGGGAAACATGCTGCATTTGAGGACCCCAAAGCAGTCACAAGATCCTGAATTGCGGAAAAACATGCTATAATAGAGGGTGCTATTAATAAAGGAGGTGTAACATTATTTTGGGGTAGTCAAAAAGTGGAACCCTGAGGCAAGGGGGTGTATGTATCAGCACCCTCCAAGGCTTTGAAGGGCTAGTTGTTTCCCGTTTGCACCTTTTGGATTTTGCACATGGGACTTTCAACACGGGAGAAAAGCAAGACACGAGACCGTCGAACAGACACAATTGCTGCCGACTGGAATGGGGTCACACCACATGAATGTACAAATTCCCTTCTTCTGGCGACCAAAATCGACTTACATATCACTTGGCGGACTCGTCCTTGGTTTCCACTCGCCCCAAAACGAGTACACGCCCCGCAAAAAAATCCTGGGCTGGGGCCTTCGCCCCTCCCCAGCTCCGGCGCCCTTGGCTTTTTATCTTTTTTTCCGAGAGGCCGAATGTGGAGGAGCTGGAGCCCTTCTGCGAGTCACGGCGAAGAAACGCGCTTTGAGACGTCTTGAGATATGGCTCAGGGTAACATGGCTGTGGTTGTCAAAACCAATGGTACCATTGGGATCCCATTTTGGTACCATTTTGGGGTAGGTGAGTTCACCGCCCATTTTAGGACCTATGTTAGTGAGGATTGGGATGTTCACTGCAGGTACAATTTGGATTTTGATGGCCACATGGAGCCCAAGACATCATTTCAAGAGGAACTAAGATGGAGACCCCAAACGCTGGTTCCATGTTGTTTTGCCCAGGAATTCAGCTCGACACGGGGCCCTTGTGCCACTCGGTAAGGAAATGGAGAAGCTCTACAAAGTGAAGAGCGCTTGGGGCTTGGGTTCAAAAGCAAAGCTGTGGACAAAAAAGACCATCCTGGAGTTTCCATGACCCTTTAAAAATGGGTCAATGACCCCATTCTTTTGGGTAATGACCCATTTTGTTTAGGGTCACGGAGACTCCAGGATGGCGCTCAAAGTTTTGCCAGATGTAGTGTTTCACTGTTTTGTATCAGAGCATCCCATGGTTCGCCATCCCTTTGGGCAAGCCATGTATCAAAGTTTGGAGTCGACCCGTTTGCAGCTCGACCAGATTGTTGAGAACCCTCTCATTCCCCTCTTCATTTCTGAAGGAATGCTAGTGGAATGTCCATAGGTGTCCTTAGGTCAGTTTGCTCACTCCAACTATTCGCAGGGGTCCGTGTGGTCACACCCCTACAACCGGATCGTGAATCGATCGTGGGTCGCGGGGCGCTCGGACTGGTGACCCAGGCGCTGGAGCTCGCTGGAGCGAGGCGGGAGATTGGGCTTTCCCGAGTTCCGGGGCTTGGACGCCTTTTTGGTGTTCGTAAAACAATCAGCCAAGGGTACCGCCCGTAAGGTTGCACTAAACAAACCATACCCCAAATGGGTGTGGCTCAAAAATAAAGAGCCTTTAGTTACGCAGGTGTTGGTCTTTGGTTTTCATGTACCCAGGTGCCGTTTTGGTACATCTGTTTGAGCTTTAGCCTTTTTGGGCTTGGAACGTTTTAGTGGTAGCTATAAAAGTTTGGACATGTTTGGACCTGGTTTTTGGGGCCGGTCCACTCAGGAAGTGAGCTAGACCATCTTGGCCAGTCCACTCAGGAAGTGAGATAGACCAGCAGTTGTGTTAGTAGCGATGTAGTCGCGCATTCAGACGAGGCGATCTTGCCAATGACCCCGCACTCACATCGGCAAGGAACCTAACTTGGGGCTCCGGGAAGACATTTTTCCCTGAAGGGACCCATTGGTCAGTTCCACGTTAGTTGATGGGAGGGTATCCGTTTGGTGATTTGGATTGGCTGTTTGGGAGACCAGAATGCTTTGGAATGTGTTTGTTGTTTTTTGAGGGGAGTGGGAGAATCCCTCGCAGCCTCAAAGCCTCCAATCAAATCACCAATTGGAGGAATGCTGAGATGAGCCAAAGTCAACATCTACCTGAAGCTTGGTGGACATTTGATCCAAAAGAGGCAGCTTCTCTTAGACATTCAGTGGCTTCACCTGATTTTTCATTGGGTTTGGGGAAATGCGAGAACGGGTTGGAATTTGTTTGATTTCCCTAGAAATAAGCCCCCCCCAGGTCAGCACTTGAAATGAGACGTCCACGTGCCCCTCAAAACCTCTTCTGCTATAAATGGCGGAAACACCTTGATTGGTTTTTGTTTCTGAGATCACGAATGTTGGGCTGTTTTATTCGAATACCACAAGGGCAAACATGCAAATTTGGGGTGTCCCCCAGATTGAGACAAACCCAAATAGGGTTAGGGGCTTGGGCAATCATTTGAAGGATGTTTTTGGGGGGGCCACGGCTCGCAAAGGGATGTTCGGCCGTGGCACACGTCACCTCGCTCGCAGAATCGCCTCAAATATGGTCGAGACACGACTACTGCAAATCTGAGATCTCACATGTTGAGGTTCAGTGAATATATATACATACAGACCAGATTCACATCAGACATGCCTGGGATGCGCCCCATTCCTCTGTTTGGAAATACGTTCACTGTCTCCAGGCTGTGCGGCCTGATATGTTTCCTCTCGCGCTAGCTTTCAGGAAGGTTTCCGGAACCCAAGATCTCAGGGATACCCCGTGGCCGGGATATTACCGGGGGCCGCCGCTTCATAGATGTCCTTTTTATTTTGCTTGAAGATAATTTGGTTGAACTGGTTTTTATTGATTTTATTCCATTTGCCAAGGCCATCTATTTTCCCAAAAGGAGGCTTTTAGTGGTTTTACGCTCCATTCTTCCAGGGAAACCGATCCGTTTTGTCCAAAAAGCACCGCTCCCGCACGGCAGGCCTGGAGAGAACCGGGTCCGACCTGGCTATGACTAGCTGCTCCCGGCCGTCCAGGCGCTCGGCGCTTTGCGCTTTTTGCGCGGTGAGGGTTGTGTTAGGTTGGACAATATGGCTGTGGCTCAAAAATAGGGTAACCCCAAAATGGCACCTTGGTAAATGCAACCAAAGACTAAAACCTGCGTAACCTTGGCTCTTAAATTTTGAGCCACACCCATATGAGTCATCGAAGCCGGGGAAGTGAAGGTCAGTAAGCAGTCCAGCCATAGGCGTGGCAAAGACCGGCCTCTGAATCCTTAATTATTGGGCTTTGATAGTGACTCATATATGAGTCGTTTGCTTTTTAAGTCGCGCAAGTTGTGGTTCAGGGACTGCCCTGGCAATAATTGGGTGCGGATATTTGCCTCCGCGTGGTTCTGGGTAGACCATTTTGATACCAGGGTTTGATTGTGACTCATCTGAAGGTCCTTTGGGGGACTGTCCAATATTTCAGTTAGACCAGCTGACCGTTTGGTGGATGAGGCTCTTGCAAAGGCAACACGTTTGGGATAGTTTGGGACTGATTGCAATTTGCTCAGATGAATTTCCGGGGGGGGGGCTTGGACAAGCATTCGAAGGCTATAAGATGATAGAAGCTCAATTGAGCAGTGAGCACAAGCCCCATTGAACATGTTGGAAGCTGGATGTTAGTTCGCCTTGTCCAAAATCAACGCTCTTAGCACCAGTCATTGGGCTTTGGGTCTTCCCGCCACCTGGCCCCACCTCCTGCCCCCAACACCCCCCCCCCCCGAGCGCCTCGAGCGCCTCGAGCGCCAAGGCGCCTCGGGCCAAAGTGCCGCAGGACGCGGCTCCTGGAAGCGGAGAACGAAACGCCTCGCTCGCTCGATCAGGGCCGCGGGAGCGACGACCCCATGAAATGGGATGCGGTGGGGGGGGGTGGGGTCCTTTGGGTTTTTTGCGGATGGTTTTTGAAAGGAAGTGGAGCCCATATACTGAAGAAGTGTCGTTGGTTTGGGATTTTAAGTTGAAAAACCAAGCCCAAAGAGGATAGCCGAAAAGAATGACACATGTTGGAAGTCTGGTTCTGCTTATCACATTCTGGGGTGGTTTTCTATAGCCTGCTTTTTGTTGGGGGGGGGGGGGTGGTAAACTGATTGGGGCTGGATAGAAGCCATCTTGCCAGGGGCGAGCCAGGATCGGCCAAGCGCGGCTGGACTCCCAAGACAGTGTTGGTGGTTGCCCCAAATCGTTTCCCCAGCGATCTCAAACAGGCACCCTCAAAGAACGACAAATTCCCTGCATTCCGATTTGTTGAGCAACCCAAGACTCAGATACCCTGCTCTGACTATGACTCAACTTTCCGATGTGTTGAGCAACTCAAGATTCCCATTCCCATTTCCCCGACCAACTGAGCCACAATCAAAACCCGGGTAGATGAAGGTTAGGGACCATAAATAGCTGCGGATATCCGTCCTAATTCTTCACATGGGTTCTGGGGCACTCGGGTGGTTTTACTACCATACAGCCGCGGGTGGGTTTACTACCCGGCTCTGACTATGACTCAACTTTCCGATTTGTTGAGCAACTCAAGACTCAGAATTCCATTCCCATTCCTCTTGAACATCAACTCTTTCTTCCCCAGAATTAGCGCCCCCTGTTTGTGTGCTTTTTGGGGGTCCCTTTGTTTTCCACTACCAGGCATTCAAGATGTATATTTTTGCTGGGGTCCTAATTCTAGCCTATCATACAATACCACTTAAAACATCAACGTATGTTTTTGTTAGATCTATAGTTAATCCACTTAATCGAGGACTGATTGCATTTGCGACCTGCTTGCTCAAAAGAAGCGACGCAGGTGAAGCAGCAGATCCTCGTCTTGGCTTTGAAGGCCAGATATGGCGATTTGTTGAGCTAAATTGGTCTACCAGGCGTCTCCGGATCTGACCCTTTAAACAAGAATGGGTCAATGACCCGGCCTATTAGTTTTTGGGTAGTGACCAACCATTTTTTTCAGGGTCAGAAGGAGACTCCAGGTAGCAATGGAATGTGTTTTTTTCTCCGAGAGCAAGAGGAGAGCTCGCGAGTCGGCCATTTTGGCTGAAGCCTCAGCTTCGAAAAGCTGTTTTGAGGGCCGGAACGTGAGTGAAGCCTCAAGATCAGGTCCGGCAGTTTGCCCAGGGATCAAAATGTCGTGCCAGATGAACAGAGCCACTTCCTCAACACCGATTCGAGATAAGGGAAAGTCCCAACCATAAACGGGTGCCAGCTGTTCGCTGCTATACATGATTGAGAAAACAAAAAGAAGCACATTGTAATACCAGGTTTGATTCTGGTTATGAGAGAGGCCATCAATCCGCCAATGGGCTGGTTCCGAGGTTTCAGGGCTGGATTTGTCTAGAGGACCTCGGTTTTCCACGGGTTTCCCGAAGCAACCCATACGGCCAATGGCGCCGGGAGTGTTTAACCCAAAATAGGAGGGACCCCTAAATAGGCCCACGGTGTTCGGTGTTCCTTGGGTTTCCCGTTAAACCAAAAGTCTCAATTTTAGTGCCCCATACAAGTTTATGGTTCCTTTGAATTTCCCTTGAAACCAACCCCCAATATGGCCCCCATAAAGTTTTTTGCTTTTGGTTCCCTTCGAAAGCGCCCAGCATTTATCGGATGCTCGGTTATAGGACGGTATCGGTCAGGTTTGGGCCTTCCACGCCATGAATGCGCGGGGCGAGGTTCCAGCAAAGGAGCGGCGGGTCCTGTTCTCGCGCGGACCACCCTAAGTGGGTGTGATACTGTGGATGTTTGCGAAATGGTTTCTGATGATTCCCCAACGCAAATGCCAACAAACGTTATGGTGTCGACCATTATTTCTTAGGTGGTGCGGGATTTTGCAACCATCCACAGTGTTTCTGAAAGATAGCCTTAAGGCCTGCAGAGTGTTGTGTAAAGGCCCATGGAACATCATATGTTTTATGTGGACACCGTTTAGTTGAGGAATCCTATCCACCATTTGAAGCGTTTCCCTATTGAAGTTCCTGTCCAAATGGGCGTGCTTGTTTCTCGAGGGAACCCTTTCAAGTTGGTTTAAAGTGAAAGCAAAAGGAAGCCAGCCTTTTTGGAGGTCCAAATCCCTTTCTTGACACACAAATACACACACAGAGACACACTCACGCACACACACACGCACACACACACGCACACATACATACATACTCTGAGACAGACTCAAATGGGCTTCGGAAACCTTTTGGGTTTTATTGAAGACAATCCATCCAACAGATTGGGTACCTAGTGGGTACCTTGTTGGTTATTGTTGGGCCGACACAAGGGCTTGCTCCATCCCGACTGCGGATTTTGTCCATTCACAGTACGAACAAAGTGTCAGGCTTACAGCTGGCAACACTGGGCCAACGGGTCAGTGAGTGCAAGACTCACCGACTGACCGTCGCAGGAGAGAAGCGAAGTGAAGAGCAAAGATGCAGGCACAGTTTGGATGACGGAAAGCCATGTTCATCAACATGACAAGTCTGGATGAAAGCCATGTTCAATCAAACTAACGTGTCTGGATGATAGGAAAAAAGTGTTCTTCCAACTGAGCAAGTCAGACTGCCAGGGAGCGGCAAAGTACCGCCTTCTTTGACAGTGAGTCCTGCTGCAACCTCGGTGAGTGTATCGCTGCTTTCCTTTGCGTTGCGATAGGTCAAAGAGTCACGTATTATTTGTTCTATCTCCTTTGCACCGCCTCATGTGCATTGCATGTTGGAGAGATCGACTTGTGCACCACTTCCCATGTTGCAGGACAACTTGTTCAGTGCCCATCGCCTCGATGAGGTTGTGGCACAAGAGAATCACACCTTTGTTGTTGGCTTGACCGCCTGGTGCTGTGAGGATGAGTCGGCGGCACTTCTTCCCAGACTTGAGGCGGTGCTGCTGCCGAACCCTCGAATTCGAGATACCCTTCCTGGACAGGGGGGTTTTGTTGGAGGGTAGCATGTGCTTGGCACAAGATTCGATTGGGTACTGTTCGGCTTCATTGATTCATGGCAATGCGTCATGCGAGGTGCTCAGACTAGGGATTCTGTTTCGGACCCCCTCTTCCAAAGGCGGGCCGGCATGAGGGCACCCAAGAAAGGTTCTGGCTTCATCTCGCTGAACTTGCAACCTGACGCTATCAGAGGTAAGTCCCGCGTGAGAGGCCGTCGTCGACCACATTAGCGCCTTGGCGGCCCTGGATGCATCGTGGGATGTGCGAGATACCGCCGCGGGCTGAGCTTTGGATCCCGGAGCGGCTTTACAAACAATTCGCCTTGCACAGCTTTGCTTTAGTGCATGTTGTTTGGCTGTTAGGACTTTACCTTTTTGCCAACTAATGGGTTTTCCACTAAACCACTAAAAGTTAAACTTTTAGCAGGGGAGCAGAAAGCGACCGAGTTTGCATTGGCCTTGCCCCTCCCGTTGAAATAGTTGCGTCCTGCGCCGTCGGTCTTTGCCAGAGAGAAGTTGTTTCGGGCGCTTGATTTGACCATGCATCGAACTAGTAAAAAACGAAGGTGTTTTTGGTATGTTCTCGAAGCATGAGGGCAAGGAATGCTAAGCCCTCGGAAGAATAGCATGTTTGCAACGGACAACACACAGGCCCCAGTCAGTTTTGCAGGTTTGTTGGCATCAGTCTGTAGTGGTTTGCTGTTACGCACTGACACGTTTAGGGTGAGCTTGAGGTTCAACTCCCCCATTACCTGGACGTATGGGCCTGTGATGTGCCATAGGCTCGAGCCCTGAAGAGCATCAAGGAGTCGGCCAAGGCTGGCACAGTGCACAGACATCTTTTTGTGTGTCCAATGTGTGTGTATACCATATATACATAAATAAATAAAGAAGCATATATACATATATGTATATGTATATGTATGTGCATATATATATATATATGTATACATGTATGTTTGTATTGATCATATGTGGTGCTATGGATACATAGAGAGATGTAAGGAAGGAAGGAAAAGAGAGGAAAGGAACCGAAAGGAAAGGAAAGAGAGGAGAGGAGAGGAAAGGAAAGGAATGGATCAAGGAAGGAAGGAAGGAAGGAAGGAAGGAAGGAATGAAAACAAGAAGAAAGAAAGCAAAGCAAAAGAAGGAAGGAAGACGGAAAGAAAGAGAGAGCAAGATAGCATGTATGTTGGCATATGCATATCTACATGCATGTCTATGTTTAGAGAGAGGGAGAGATGGAGTGTGTGGTTGTCATGGTCCAGACATGTACTTATGGGTTGAGAGATTGTCATCCTTTCCGGAGGGGCTGAGCAAACGAAGCTGTGTGCATTCTTGACAAGCGCCGTTTGGCCTCGATTGGGCTGCATTTCGCACATGTGAGCAACTGAACTACTGATAGTCCATTGCTAGTCACGAAAGCTAGCTTTAGCTAGCTGAAGTTTCTCCTTGCGTAAGCAAGGTAAGGGGCTCAAATGCCGAAAGATTGATTTTTTCAATTATTTGAGCCGAAAAGATTGAAAAACATCAATTATTTAGACCCCCCCCCCCCGGGTCTCAGGCTCGATTCCTCCCTGGTCCATCCCCCCCCCCCCGGGCAGTGGCTCAGTGTTCAGCAGTCTCGGTTTGCCCGTTTTGGACTTGGTGCTACGAACTTTTACATGTTCCACCGATTCAGCTTGTTCATTTGAGACCTCAGTCTTCTCGGTAAACCACCTCGCAAGAATCTTTGCACACGCTGCATGCAGAATCCAGAGGTGCTTTAAGACAGCTTCTGACGCCTTTCATTTTTCAAGGTTTGCCACGCCACCATGTGCGTTTGCGTGTCGCATCCTACGAATCTTGCCGGGCCTCTCGTTGTACACAAGCTACCTATGAATCCACTCTGTCACCGACCCATCTCATGCAACAACTGCTAGCTTTCGTTCACCCGCTCCTCAAGTTTCGGTTGACGAGAAGAGCGGGGCACCCAATGCATCAAAAACCATGAGGGGAACCTATGTTTCCATCAAAAACCACCAGGGAAACCCATGTTTTCATCGAAACCACCAGGGAAACCCATGTTTTCATCAAAAACCACCAGGGAAACCCTTTGTTTCCCATGCATTTGGGAAAGCTTCTGAGATTTTGTCCGAGGCTCATACGTGTTGCCTTGGCAGGCTGCCCTGAGCTCTGGTGGAAAGACTCCTCTGGAGCAAATGGGCATTTGGTGGGAGCCACAGATCAGAACCCGGGCGTTGATGTGAGCCACAATCAACACCCGGGTAGATGAAGGTTAGTAAGGGGCAGTCCCAGCCATAAATAGCTGCGGCCGCCTTCTTATTTCTTTGCATGGTTCTGGGTAGACCATTTCAATACCGGGTTTTGATTGTGACTCATGTGGGACGATTGGCCTTTGGGCCAAAAATCAGGGGAACCTTCATAGGTCCGAATTCACGGATTCCAGCTTGCGCCAAAGGACAACCATGTGTGTAGAATCCTGGAACCCTTTTGTTTTAACCGATTCAGGGTCCCTGAATATCTCAATCCCTGATTCTAATAGGCTGCAACTTTTGCCGACAAGTGATCCGGATTTCCTCTAAACTGGGACATCATTCCCTTTGATCGTCCAAAAGTTTATAGGTATTGGTGCCAGACGCATCCCGACAGACACCGCAAAGCTCCACCCGCCGAAAACACCAGAACAGGCAGCAAAAAACTGCCCTTTGACGACCACCCAAACAGGGTTCCCAACAAAAAAAAAACATGCAACAGGTACTGCCGGGCTTGCATCAGCGGCGCGCCGCCGCTGGATGGCCTTGCCAGCGGCGGTTTGGGCACAGACAACATATTCAGTATGGTCCAGTTCAGAGAGAGTCTTCGGGAGCACCGACTTATCTGTTATGATGTATTTCTTATCCTCACAAGCACCATTCTGAGGATATAGATCAAGTTTCAACTTGGGGGTAGGGGTTGCGGGCCGAGAACCCCCCCTCGTGCAGTTCCCATAGCTTGTGCCAGCTGCTGGCGTGGATGCCTCCGATGAGAAGGAAGATGGCTCTGGCAAGGCCGGGAGCGATTGCAAGTGGTTGAGGCAAGGATGCCCAAAACCGATTTGAGTGTGGGTCAAAGCGAAGCACCCAAGCAGCCCCAGGTTTTTAGGCCTTATTTCCATGTACCAGGGTTCCATTTTGGTGAGGGCAACCCATTTTGGATCCTTTGGCGGTTTCAGCAGGGTTCCTGCTGCCCGATTCGATTCGGATTGTGCCTGTATGAATTTCCTTGTCGAGGGACCCAAAGTCAACGGCATTTGCCGCGATATCGTGTGGAGTTTTGCAACCCAGCTAACTACCAAGCTGGAACTCCTGAGAGACCAATTTCCTGCAAACGGCACCCTTTGGCGCGTTAAATTGTAGATATTGTAGGTGAGAGGAAACGCAAAGGGAAACGTGCTATGCTAGGTTAGGTGCTACCTTAGTTGAAAACAGATCCATCATGTTATGAACAAGACAAAGAAATTTCCCGACAGACTGCAGCCCGCCTCAAAAATGGGTGCGAACATGGGAGTTTCTTTATCTCCAACTCTTGAGGTGTTTTGTGTTTTTTTCCTTTTGGTGTCCATGCGGCTCAGAAGTTTCCCTGTTTTGTCTTGAAATAGGGGGACCGGTGGTCGGAAGGGAGCTGAGGAGCTGGGGGTCTCCAAATTTGCCTTTAAAGCGGGAGGTAGGAAGCTACCTGGAGTTCTGTAAGGACATGGTAGAACACAGTTGAGTCACAATCAAGACCCGGGTAGATGAAGGTTAGTAAGGCGCAGTGCCAGCCGGAAATAGTTGCTTCCGCCTGTTCAATTCCTTACATGGTTCTGGGTTCACCGATTTTGTACCAGATTTTGATTCTGACACAGTTCTTCTTTTTTTGTTGGTGTCCTCCCTGCAAAACCTACCTGAAACAAACCGATACAAACCAACCTCTTCCCAGGCGACGGTGGACTCCATGTGGATGATCGGGTCCCTTGCGCAGGCGCCGAAAAGATGAGTCAGCGTGGGAAAACTGGGGGATACCCAGGGAGTCCCCTGAAAAGGACAAAGCAGCCACGAAAGGATGGCCAAGTGGGCGTACCTGGAGTCTCCATGGAAACCAACCATTGATTTAGCATCTGATCTATTTTGAGAATACCCCAAAAATAGTGTAGTCTTGCAAATCCTTCTGTCATCTTCCATGCTGGTAGACGCGAGGATAAAGCAACGTTCTCAGGCAGCATCTGGGGCTCTTTGGCAAGTCCATTGCCTTCCGTGCTGAGCGTGGCCCCATGGCTGTGGTTGCAATAACCCCTACCTTGAGTCTCCATGACCCTTTAAAGATGGATCAATGGGGGGTAACCACCTGTTTTCCTTTTTTCACAGGGTGACAACCCCTTGGTTACCTATACGGGTAAATGGATTCACTGGTTTCCATTTGGCTTCCTCTCACACACCAACGATGAGACACAGCCTGGTGGACTTCTGGGGCTGAACGTGCAGCGCCTGTGTCGGAGATTCCTTTGGATGTTTTGGAGTGACTGGGCTGTCGTGTTTTGTTTGTAAGAATTGGGGGGGGGTCAAGAGGTAAGCTGCTTTTGCCGAACTTGGGGAGAGTTCACAACGAGACTTGGGTCTTCCCCTTTCCTGCCATGGGCAGTTGACATCCTGTTAATTGACGTATGTTCATCCACCCCCAAGTAGGGATTTAGACAACCGTTCTAAAGGCTCGTGTTAAGGACACCATGGCACATGTGTCAAAACAAGAAACGTGCAACTCACACATGTCAGCATGCGCAGTGGGTAGCATATGTTTGGCTCGCCCCATTTCCACACAAACGAGACTTTGCCGTGCTCCCAAAAGGGTTCTATGGGTTGGTGGCAGAGGAAGAAAAGCGCATGCGCTAGCGCTCGGAACCGGTTAGAACTCTCGTGGCCCCAGTGCCAGCGCCTCAACGGATAGGTCGGCGTGTTTGAGAGATGGTTCGTTCGGGTTTGAGGTTTGTTCAAAGGGAAGCATGGCTCGGAAGGCCGCCAAAGTTCGAGGCCCCTTTTTCTTGCTTTTTTTTGAAGTGTAACGCGGTTATGTTATGTTGAGCACTGCTCAGGATTGGTCCCATTGAAGCAATAGAATCCTTTGTATGTGTCACTACTAGAGGAAAGAACTCAGGCATGAAGCGAACCATTTCAAGCAAGTGGAGGGATCCTGATCTTGAAAATGAACTGGCGACTCTGCCAAATGGCGAGGGGTCACTTTGGTCTTTTCAACAACTTAGAGTGACATTCTGAAAATTACTCACCAAATGCAAATTTGTGGTTAAAAGAGAACCTCCGTCCCCAGAAATCTCAAACTCCGTCAATTTCAACCCTGTTTGGGGAAACTGAATTGCTGAAAAACTAAAGGTCTCCAAATCAAGCCCCAAAAGTAATTTCAAGAACCCCGCAGCATGCCTTGCCGCTTAAATTGGGATCATTGTGTTGACTGTTTCTGGGTTGTTTGACTCAGTCCAAAAATGGTCCACTTTCGCTTGAACCTACTGTGGATGGACGAAATCCATTTCGCACCATCCAAGAAACCCTGGTGAATGGATTGATTACCTTAAGAAAGAAACCATCATGGTTGCAGCATTTCGTCCATCCACAGTACCACCTTCGGGTGACCTTTCAGAAGGCTCCCTATGGCAGCGGCGCGTTTCATCCTAACCCGCTAGGCCTTGGACTTCCCTCTGGAGACCTATCGGCCGCTGCCGCCCTGGGCGGAGGAATGCGGATTGGTCCAAAAGATTCGCATGGGCTTGGTGGGAAAATGCTGTTGTGGTATTTGTGTATTGCGTGCCCTTTTCACCTTGGTTTAGATGTGACAGTACTTGGGCGCGTGTTTTTGTTTTGACTTCCGGGCTTGGTTTAAAGGGACGACAAGAAAGACCGGCGCCATTTCAGGGGTGCCCTCACCAGTTTCCGCTTGTTTGGCATTTGGGGGTTCCAGGCCGACCTGTTTTGGGTTGGTTTGAAGGAAAGGCAAAGGAAACGACCAATCTTGGGGGGTTTTCTTCTCTTGACGCATATCCTGATGGTGTCCTCTGTGCGCAGCCAAGACAAGATGGTTTCAGCGCACGATAGGTCTGACATAGGTTACGTGGTATTGGTACAGAGATTTCGGCAGGAGAACAGCTCAGACGAGTTGAGAAAGGTGAAGGCTCCGAATCGCGGAAGGGACGAGGGGGTAAAGGTTTCGGTCAGTTTTGGGAAGTATCAGTGAATTTGGAAGACGGGTCAGGGGGAGACTCTAAATGGGGGCTGTCTTTGGTTATGGCACTTCTCTAGGAAAACCATCACTTTAGGCCTCCCCTGTTGTAAGACACACCCCAAAGGGGCTGATTTTCTCATGTACATCGCTCTATGGTGTGTGTGTGTGTGTTTGCGGAGCTGACTTGCGAAGCTCTCATATTTTTCAGACCGCGAGATTTATTAACAAATGGGTGGGCATTGAACCTAAACTCAAGAAACACGCAGGGGGATGAACAAATGTATGGACATGGCAGCAACAGTAAATGATGGATGTGTTTGAGTCGCCGTACTCGCGCTTCGTTGCGGTTTTGCTTGAGCTTTATCGGGCCAGATGGAACTCGCATTCAATGAGATGCACCCGTACCCAAGCAAGAGCGATATACATTTGCCTGGGTACTGTTTTGGGATAGAGATTGAGTCCCAAATGGAGACTCCTACATTTGACTGGCAAGAACAAGTCACTGGCTTGCGTGCAGTGCCATGCAAATCATTCTGGCACTGCCTCGCATAGCAAGCCCACCGTTCAGATTCTAATTATGTCCACTGCCTGCAAAACACTTCCCTCAAGGAAAAAAGGGCTGTATAATGTTTGCGCTCTCTATTGCCGTTTATCTTGTATCCCAGGACCCCTCTATTACCATGGTTCCTTGTTGTTCTCCACTAAGCAAGATGTGCCTCGCTTCGGGCACTTGCGTTCAAAACTGTCAGCCTCCAAGGTCCGCCAAAAGCCAACACAGCTCTTACATGTGATGGCCGCTTCACGATTGTTTGCTGAAAATGATGACTTCAACTTTGATTTGTCGCATGTGTCGAAAACATGAAAGAAGAAATGTTTACAACAAAACTGGGGCACTTGACCTATAATCACCATCCAAGAGAGCCTGCTTTGTGTGTGTGTTGTCCTTGTTTAAATGTTATTTTTACATATTCAGAACATGTCTCTCTTCATAAACCCTCCACTGCTTTCTGTTGTCTGAGCTCACGGACGGATCTCTCGCCACCCGTGGGATGCGAGGCCGAGGTGACTGCAGAGAAGGCGCGGGAGAACGCGCCCAAGAGCATCTCCTCGGCCACGGTGGGCAACGTCACCCACATGGACTGGGCACGGGGGGGGGGGGCAGCACAAAGGAACTGAATCGAGCCATCGAACCGGAACAAGCAAGCCAGGCAGCAAGCAAGCATTCCATTACATGGCTGTGGGTCAAAAATAGGTACCCAACATGAAGTAGACTAAAGCTTGCAGTCCCCGGGTGACTTGATTTTGACCCATACCCACATTACATTGCATTGCATTACATTGCATTACCTGCATGTATGGATACAGACAGACGCAGACAGAGACAGAGACAGAGACAGCCAGACGCGCAAACACCCAGACACACAGACAGACAGACACAATCACATGCATGCCTGCTAAAGTGCGTACGTGTATACACACATACAAAACACGTGTGCATGCACCTGTGTGTGTGTGTGTGGTTTGTAGCCCGTGTAAGATCAAAGCAAGACAACTAGAAGGGTGAGGCGCCCCTTCACGGTATCTCAATTTCACCGTGTCCATCAAACGCTTTGACTTCAAAGAGAGCGGGCGGCCCATCACCTGGCTTCCATGCGGCTTCCAGATACACGGCCCTTGCGGTTCCCCACTAGCTGTCCATTTAGATATGTCAAACCTGGGTACACCTTCCTCTTGCCGGTTCTCAGCGAATCATCTTGGGGGTTTGGGAATGGCCCGTTTGGGACTCCCCCCTCACAAAAAAGGCAAGGGACTTGGGGTGAGAGCCAAGTAGCCACGTGAGGAGCAACGAGTGCAGCTGCCCTCCAACATCACCAACGTGCCTGTGGTGCAGACCTTGGAGGACCCGATTCGTCGAGATCCGCTGAGCTACGCCGCCAAAACCACCGATGGAGCTGAACGGGTTTTTTTAAGCTCCCGCGAACATGGGCAGTCAAGAGGGCGCTCAATCAACAACTAAAACAACAATCAACAAAAAGAACGACCATCAGCAGCAAACAACAAAAATAGGGTGTATGATACCCTATGTCTTAAAATGTATTTTGACCCCCCCCACCCCCCACCCTTTCCCAGAATACATTCTTTCTGGTATGTTCTGCTATTTTTTTATGGTGTATGCCCCTTTGAAACGAGATAGTAGACCTACCTCAGCTGAAAGACTGAGCCTCTGCAGTTGGCTAGCTGGATGTATAGCTTCCGGCAGGTTTCACAGGGAAAGCCAGAGGGAACCACGTTGGGGACGTCCAACTCATTTTGAGACACTGCCAAAGGGTCGGATTTTTTTTGGGGGGAGCGTATTTTATCCAGGTAAATGCCTGATCATTGCCCAGGTGTTCGTACAAACCTTGGTGGCTCCAAGCCATCCCCTAGCTTTTTAGCCTTTTAGTGTTTAGTAGGGGTTTCCATTTAAACCGCTAAAAGTTAAGCTTTTAGCAGGGGATCTGAGGGCAGCCCAGAAACCCAATAGTTGGAAGGGATTGGGTTTGCTACTCGCAGGACTTGGACTTGTTCTACAGTGAGGCGCGGCCAAGCGCTTGGACTTGACATAGAGGGAGCCATGCGCTTGGTGGTCCTTGCGCTTGGCTCCATTGGCTGGCTGGTGAAGCTGCAAAAGCGTTTTTGTTCAAACGATTCTGATCCGCAACTTCCAACTTCTGCCGGGAAACACGTTTTTTTTCTTCTCGCGAAAGGTAGCGATAGCTAACCTGGAGTTCTTTCTTGTGCCGCCGCATGTCGTGCATGCCATTCCTCACGTGCTACCTTTCGTTCGCCCCGTTCTCAAGTCAGTGGATAGTGGATTCTGACCAGCTGCCAACTTAGGGAGAAGTGCAGGGATCGTTGTTGGAAGTATGAAGGACTAAACATGTCATTGCAGGACTGGGGTGGCCCCTGACATTCCGTTGACACTTTCATCTGGAGACAAGAGCATGGAATTGACAAGCCCCCCTCGCCGGATCTGAATCGCCAGTGCGAGCATCCCTATATTTATTTTTGGCCATTTTGTGGCGATTTTCCTTTGGTAGGGGTGATGATTTGAGGGAAAAGTGGGTCTCTCTTGTTTTGCAGGGTATCCCTTTTTTGTTGCTTTTTACAGGGAAGCCAAAGCAAAACCGAAGCCATTGTCGGGGGCCGATTCCTAAAGCACGACACGCGCACATTTTGAACCCCGAGTTCCTTTCGCCTTTGGTGGGAAGGCGACCCCGGCGCCGGCGAGACCAGCGCCGGCCCCTAGGCGAGCGGTTCAGATATTCCGACAGAATCAGAGTGATTACTTCTCCTCTGGGGTCTCCAAAACAGTTTTATGTTTTAGAGGAGTCAACATCAGCCTTCCTTGTTAGAAACAGGCTCCTCCAAATGATTGGATTTTGTAAAGCAGGCTGAACATGAAATTATGATGGAGTAAATAATGATGAGTTGATGCAAGACAAGAAGCTCGTGGAGATAGAATGGGAGGATGGGGTGTGGCTTTCCGTGGCGTCGACCCTGAGGGACAGTCACGATCCCTGCGCGATTTGGACAACTATAAGTGTTCCCAAGGAAGACATGATCACTCAAGGAACCCGCAAATCCCCAAATCCCCCAAAGGAGGTTTCTCTAACCAGGATGGTTTCCGGGTTCCATATTCATCAGAGGGGTCAGAAAGTTTAGGTGTCTCACCAAATAGAGTAAGCCCCCCCAAAAGAAACAACAGGGTTGTGAGATTGAGGTTGGATTTGTTTGACCACTGTGATACCAGGAAGGTTCCCCCTTTTGAATGTGTCCTTGGGAAGGACTTCCAGTGGTACAGACCGGGGCAAACCTGCCAATCGGTTGGGAACGGAACCTGCTTTTGGGGAACAGAATCATGTTCGCAAGATGTTAAGAAAAACCAGTGGGGGGGTATGTGTCAAATCGACTCTAAATGTCCAGAGAAATCATTTTCAGGTAGGGTGTTGGAGGTATGGAGGCCCCAAAGGGTCCATCCTTTTCGCAGGCCGCAAGCAGCAGCTCCAGCCACGACGCTGGAGCAGGCATGCCTTATTTGATGAGCGTGTGGCTTTTTTTCCATGAGATTATGCTTGGCTTATCCAGGAGAGCCCTGCCACCCCCCAATAGCTTAGCATGGGTGCCTTGTGGGTCAATACAGCCTTTGCTTGGTTGAACAGGATATGGTCATCAGCCCCTTAATAGGGAGTTTACACAACCATGATGCGGGGGACTCCTTCAAAGAAGGACCATGGACCGACATGGGGATTGTTGCTGTGGGCTTATTTGAACAATGTTGTGTGTACCCCATGTCTAGCCTTTTGGTGGCTGATACATAGTCAATGGCGGGGAGGTATGGTTGCACTCCGTATACCGTTGGGTATGCCTTTAAGCAATGTTGCAAATGGTTGACGTGGCGATGTATGCTATATGAATGATATGAATGTGTGTCTAGTTGTTGGTTGGCGGGTCCCCACGATTCAAGAGGGTGTACAAACAGCCCTATGTTTTGACAAGCCCCTCAGAGACTTTTTCTGCGGACTGCGCTGGATGCTTGCGCTGTGTCCATCCAGCCAGATGCGCCTTGCTGGCGCTGTCGCACCTGTGGGCACCGCTGTCTTCGGCGAGGATGAGGAGTCTGATGAGGAGGCACCTGTCCATGGAGTACGGGCTTACAGGTGAGCCACAATCAAAGCCCAGATTGAAGGTGTGAAGGACAATTCCAACCAGGAATAGGTTCAGGTATCTGCCCTCTTGATGCTTTGCATGGTTTTGGGTAGTTTTTTTTGCCTAGGTTTGTCTGTGACTCGGATAAAAGGCAACTGAGGCTTGTCCAAACGAAAGGGTACTAATTTTGCATTTGCCACGTTTCCTGGAGGGTTACACAGGCTCAATTGTCATTCCTTTGTATTCCGTTTGTTTGTGAGGCGGAGGATGACGACGATTGGAAGTACTGCCAGCAAGCTGCCTCTGCCAACCCAACCTCGGCCTATCCTCCAGCCACTGCCCCGGAACCCCCAGCAGCCCCAGCAGCCCCGGCAGCTCCAGCTGCCCCAGCTGCGCCGGCTGCAGCCGCCCCAGCAGCCCCAGCAGCCCCGGCAGCTCCAGCTGCAGACGCAGCGGCGCAGTCTGCCAACCCAACCTCGGCCTATCCTCCAGCCGCTGCCCCAGCCCCAGCTGCCCCAGCAGCTGGGGCAGCTGGAGCTGCCCCAGCTGCAGACGCCGCGGTGCAGCCAGAGGCGCAGCCAGAGGTGCAGAGCTCTGAGGCACAAGACGAGGCTCCTGTAGACCTACTGTAGTGCCCGGCAAAAAGAGCGTGAAGCAGGTGCAGGGCATGGCTTCTCAGATTGGCTGGTTTGCACTGGCCCATGACCGACTTGTGGGCTCAAGCTGATATGCTACATGATGCGTGCCATGCCCATGTGCGCAGTTGCAGTCAACATCAATGAGACAGAGCATCAGCCCACAGATCCACGGCAAATGCCCCGCGAAGTGGTTCCAAAAACCAGTTGAGCAGTACTGTGCGTCAGTGGCAAAAACGCCTCAAGCAGAAGGAGTCTTTCATGAGCTGATCTCCATGGATTGGGGGAGCTGCCTGGCACCGAATGGTTGTGGGTTGGGTGATGTCGTATTTATTTATTCGCCTCGCGGTCCTTTAGGGCAATTTACATGCTCCATGAGAGAAGTTTAACGCTTAGATTAGAATCAGAGTTTAGACTTTTGCAACAATTCTCAATGTGTGATTTGAGTGCCCCATGCAGTACCTTGCTACTTGGATGTGGGTTGTTGGTGAACAGTTTTTGTAGAGAGTTGCAAAGAGGCATCAAAGCTGGCAAACGTTTCAGAGTGCCCACTCCCTGAGTTGCTGGAGCCGGCCCAAGCGAGTTTCACGTTATTCCGGTGGCCGCTCGGCGTGAGGCTTGCAACTCGCTCCTGTGTGTTTGACCGATGCCTTCGACTCGGAGGCTCGCATGGGACTTGCAATCCAGTGTCCCAGAGCGGTTTTCCGGGAAAGGACGCCAATGTTGAAGGCTGGGGAACGCAGGACGCATCCACCCCATTGACGCTTTAGTTCGCCAGGTTTTCTCCCCGGCAATGGGGCACAAACCCTCCTCACCCTTGAGCTTAGTTCTCCTAGCCATGAAGCCCGAATACTCCCAGCCCCGAAAGAATGGGGGCGGTGGGAATTTGACCTAGATCTCCACGCCGAATATTCCTTTAAGTAGACAAATGAAATTGGGGACCTCACCACGCCCTGGGCGTGGGAATGTTCAAATGAGCTTGTCTCCCATTTCTTCGGGTCCATGTCGGCCCGAACTCTAGCATGCAGCCATGATTTACTTGGGGTCATTGGGGGGGGGCTTAGTAAGTAGCCCACAAAACGAGAACGGGAACACGTGTGTGTTTAACCCATTTACCCAGAACCCGTCCAACGGGTCACGAGAACAAATGCACAACGAATCCCGAACGAAACCCCCATGACAATCAACGAGTTCCTGGCCGGTGCGGCTGCCCGCGAGTCCGGGTGGGTTTCAAGAGGTACAGGAAGGCCTCAATAAGATCCGCTTACTGTATGGCCACCCTCATTGGTGGAAAAAAGAATCCTTTTAGACCCTGTGGCTGTTTCTGAAACCCTCAAATGTGTGGTTTGCATTCGGCTTCACTTTGAAGCAACCTCAAGAACTGGTACCCCGTGTAAATCCACTTCCAGGACCCAGGAAGATTCCATGTTAGTGGGTGGGAAGGTACCTGAAAAGAGCTGACCCTGCGCTGTCTAGGGCGAATCATTATGCCACCCCCACGTACTCCTAACCACGAGAGTGGCTCTCAGAACCCCTCTAAGAACACCTTCTGAGGAGGTTCCCTCCAGGCCTTTCCTGGGTCGGGGGGCCTTTGTGGCTTGAGGCATTTTGCGTCCGCTTCAACGCGGACAACAACTTCCTGGCTGCGGCCGGCGGTCATGGCACTGCCGAAGTGCTCAGCGCTCTGCGAGTGAAGGGCTAGGCCAAAGTCTCGGCACGGAGGAGTTTTCGACATGGAAGGTCCCAGTTGCCCAGTGGATTCCGCCCGCTTTTCCTTTTTGTGGGAAGGGTTCCCTTTCAACTCAACCAACCAAAAAAAGCAGGCCCTCTTTTGCTCCTGACCACTGAGCATCTGAGATGTTGACCCAATGTTGGCCTCGGAGTACTGAACCTCCAAAACTGACGAATCTCCGCTCAAAGGGTCACCCCTATCAATCAACCAGGGTGTTGTTGATCCGGGGTTCCCATTATGATGAATAAAGAATATTTGAATCGACTACTTTGGACAACTCTACCATTTGTGACATGTGTGAAGAACTTGTTTGACACTGGCTACTATGGCCAAGCAGATGGCACTGTGCTTGCCTGGTGTTATGGTGTAGATCGCTTGAAAAGTATGCCGGATGCGCAACAGAGGCAAGAGCCATGCTGTGTTTGTTTTCGTTTCCTGGATTGTTTAAGCGGCCAACAGCTTAAGATCTCTGCGAACAAAACATGGAGCCCCGAAAGCCCATCATGTTTATTCCGAAGTTTCTCATTTTGCTCCGCCCTTGGAGCCCCGGAAGAGCCAAGTCCATAGCGCCCTGCCGCCTTTGTTCTGGCTCAGGTCAGTGTCTTCAATGTCTCCACGGGCAAGGAGGCCTACAGGCTCGCGATGCTGTGGGACGAAAAAACTCAATAGCCACTACTCAAAGGGGCAAGATAGTGAGTGGTTTGTAAGTATGGTTGTAACCCACTAGAACCATGAGTGTCATAACAAGGGTTACTAACTTGCTAAGTATCCAGCCCGTTGGTTTTTTCTGAGTTGTCTTTTAAACCAAAAAAGGGGCTCCCATACAACAAGAGTCACTGTCTGTGAGGGTTGTTCAAAAAGGAGATGCCATTTGGGGACTCTTTTAGACCCTTGTGTAACTTCCATAGGAAGAGATGGGAAGAGTAAAGGGCACTAGGGTGAACTGGGGCCTTTCATTTCAGATTCCATTTCAGATTGACCTGTTGCTTGGACTTGCAGTCTCAGCCAGAAATAGGTGTAGATTACAAGCCCTTTCAGTCGTTTCTGCTTTTGATACTGAGTTTTGATTGTGACTATCGGGCGGTTTGGCTTGCTTGAAGCATTCCCCACAAGCATCTTACGGCTTGGAAAGGCAAAGCACGTAGGATGCGAGTACTGCCGCTGTGTAAAAGAGACTAGCCAAGCACAAGGCATCACGCTGATTGCGATTGCGATATCATGTGCCGGGGAGAAAGTCATGAGGCAGCCACTATGGCAAGACACCTGACAGCTTGAAGTCAAGCAAATCGGGTTCTGCGTGCAGCGCTTGCATGGCAGTGTGGGCATTCTTTCGAGTGCTTGCAGGTTGAACCGCCCTGGCCACCACACTGTGAAGCAAGTGCTGCCCTATGTGTCACAGAGACTGCCCGCGTGTTCCAAGAAGGCAAGCATCCTACAGCAAGCTGGCTCTTCTTGGTTTCTCAGTCCAGTGGTAGGCAACATGAGTCGTCCAAGCTGCACAAAGGTTCAAGAAGGCACAGTTCTCCACTGTGGGTCTGTCGTTTTTGAGGGTACCCCCAGTGTTTTGGTTGTTTGAAAAGAGAATACCACAAGGACAACCAGGGGGGGTCCGATTCCTTAAACGAAAACACAGATGACTACCAACCCATATGCATAGGCGTCCTTTTTAGGTGAGTTAATTGGTTTGGGTTAAAGATAGAGGGCACTGGTGTAGATTGGTTTTAATTCATGTACCAGCGCCATCTATCAACCATCATCCTTTTTAATTCATTTACCAGGGCCATCTAGTTGACCAAAAAGGACACCTATGCCCATGTGCCCATGAGGTGTGCTGGCGGCCAGAACTGGCCTCAGCGTCCCTGCGCACACGCGGGGTGCTGGTTGGAGCGAGCACTGCCCACCCGGCGACGGTTTCGGAGAGCTCCAAGATGGCGTCCCTCCGAGAAAAAAGAAAGCCACGCAGTACCCTCAAAAAGTCAATGGGACAGACAGCATATGGCCTCCGTAAACCGCTCTGAGGGGACAACAGGTATTGAGTAGCTTTGTATTCCTCTCACCACCTAAGTTCTGAGACTTCAGACTTGTTGGGAAGACCGGACCAAGAGCGGTTTGGGGGGTAAGGGAACCATGTTAGAACAGCGAATCGACCGGATCTGACCGTTTCCAGTGGGGGGCAAATTCCTTGGCTGTTGCTTATACCAGAAGCCATAGTCTACCCTTGTGGAGATTTGGAGCAACTCTGGTTTCGGTTTCCCCAGTTTGGTCCGCTTCTTTTTGAAGCTACCAACAGGCACGCCTCTCATTTGCAGGTCCTTTGAGGTTCGGTTTCCGCAGATGCGAGCGGACATGAATGCCTGAATTGGATCAATTGTCCCCGTTGAGAGCATGCGGAACGGCTCCCCCTTTTTAGCCGCTTCCCAAGAAAGATTGTGGATAGGATGATTCGCGTTGGTTTCTGTTTGGCGTCCCTCTCAATCCGTCCAATACAGGGCTTGGTGTTGGCTACCCAATCAAAGATCATCACGTTACTTGCATGAGCAAAAGCGAGGAAGACCAAGCGAAACCATGGCGTATTTTGGCCATATTCCAAAGAATCGACATGCCGGCATGTGTTGATGCAAATCTAGGGATATCTCCCCCATTACTTCAACGCGTCCTTCTTTCCAGCATCCTCCCAAATCCCAGGAAGAAAGAGCTGGTGTTTGAACAAGAAGACGGTTGCAAAATGAATCAGCCGCAAGTGAACGAGGGGCCGCGCCGATTTGGCCAGGACGGCAAAGTTCGTCAGTGGCACGTGACCAGCGGCAAGCTTCTCCAGGTGCACCCAGGGTTTGCCGGAAATCCGCTTTGCGCGTCGATCGGCATCAGTTGGGCTGCGGTTTAGCATCCAGTTTTCGTACTTAGAGGTTCTGGGACGAATCGCTAAATGAATAGTAATTCTGGTTCTAGGAGACTTACAACCATGGTCAATGGTCAATGGGTTACAACCAGGGTTACTGATCACTTCAGTAAGATGCAGGCTCTCGAAGTAGGGGTTCGTGGTTTAGCAATCAGGCATAGTGTTCCATATATCCCAACTACGAAGCGGGATGTTTTCCACAGTTTATGCGCAACGGACAATATGTAGCAAAGGGGATGATATGGAGCACACGAGCCGAAGATACAACTAGCGCCAACGGGGTTACTGACCAAACTGTAATGGTGTGGGCACAATAAATATTTGCTTGGGGCTCATATGAAGGGACAATATGTTAGTGTTTGTCTTTTGTCGTGTCCCAATGTGTCGCCCACAAAAAAATAACGGGCGAAACTAGTTTTAACGAGACATCGGTTTTGAGCCATTGAGGCGCTGGGCCATACTTCCTAGGGGCAACATCCACAGCGCGCCCTTGCAATTTCTTAGAGCCTATACCAATTTGCTGAAAACAATATGTATTATTTTCCCCTGTTGGCCTTAAAGGGAATCTATCACTGCTGGCTGTTTCTTACTTTTTTCCTGTCCGGGATCAGGATCAAAGCAACAAATCTGGATGATTTTGTGGAACTCGAATGATCACGAGCCTAGCGGGGAAGGGGGCAGTGAATGTGCCACGTATCGCAGGAGTTGGCCGTTGGGGGTGAGTCAGAACAGTTGTTCTGCGCCAGGCACTCGGACAAAGGTAGACGAATCGTATCTGAGAGCAGGGGTTTGAGCATCCGTCAGTCACCTTTTAAGTTGCCTTAGTACACAGGTGTATTGTAAAGCCATGAAACGTGTAGGTTTCGTGTTGGGAAGCCATGAAACGTGCCAAACTTAGTCCAGAAGGACAGACCAAAAGAGCACCCCCACTTGAGCGTGCCAAGAAGCTTGCAGTGAACCCAACTGAGACACAGGTTACTTGCGTGTGGAAAATGTAACATGTTGTTTAAATAGATTGCCAGTTTGTTTTGCAAGGGAATCGACGTTAAAGTGAAGCTACGGGGGGGCCGCATATCATGGCCATTTTCCATACGGGCTTGGCTGAAGGTAGACTACAACAGCAGCGGTGACTTGCTGGCTGCTGGCGGTTTGAAGGCCGAGCTGACTGGTTTAAAGGCACAGGCAGCGCCAAGCTGACTGGTTTGAACCGGTTGCGTCGTTTCATGAGGGTCTACCTTCCTTTGTGGTTTTAACGGACAAGTCAGAAGGAAGCCCACCATTGTTTTGGGGTCCCCTAAAAAAGGGTTCGACCATGTGTACACACCACCTTTCTTTGGGTGTCCTTTCCAGAGGGCTAGGGTTTGGTTGCTTAAACAAGTTTGAACAAGTCCTGCGAATCCTGCATGCAGCCCACGCTTTGATCTAAGTCGCATAAAAGACCATGTTGAGCTGCATGGTTGATTGCTTGTAGTTTAAGCTACAATATTTTGCTGCTGGCGGTTCACATGAGCTTGTGACAGCTGATAAATCTACTTGTTGAAGTTCAAAAGGATTGATGTGCCTGACTAAACACGGCGCTCTGAGCAAGCCGTGAAGCTTCCTTGGCCGTCGCTGAACAGACTTGAACCATGCCGCGGGCATGTAAACCTGCGGTTGCCAGGCAGTCTTCGTCATTGACGAGGCACAGGGAAATCCAGTAGTAGCTGCCTGGTTGAGTCTTCCATGGTTCAGGGTGGTCATCTGCACCCTATTTAGTTGCTTTTTTTTTGGTTAATTGAGTATGTCAGTATGTCCAATAACGATGGACATGTGAAAAGGACCACCCTCACTCGGAGTTGAAACAACATGTTCGATCGCTTGACTATTCAGAATTCGAACAAGGTGTAACCACAGACTGTCTGGATACCAAGCTGTCGATGTCAACATCACCGATGGGAGTCTTTCAGTTCCAGGATTATACAAGATGATGGATTGATGGTGTGCTTTCCCCAGTGAAAGATCCACTGCAAACATGTCCGGATCCCCTCCAAAATGGGGCACTCCCCTCACCAACCGGGGGAGTGAAAGGATCCTTCTTCAATAAGCGGGGAGGCTCTCGAGATCATGCCAGGAAACGAAGAAGGAGGCTGTCCGGCTTGAGGCAAGGATGTGTGCTTAGCTGTCATCCCTTCAAATCCCGGCGTGTAGCTTGTTGAAGCTGCGTACTGTAGCCTTTTTGGGTGGATTATAAAGGGAAACCAGAGCCAAACTTGTGGGTTCCTCTAGACAAGTCCAGCACGCCGCAGTGGGCAACATATATTCGGTTTCACCTAGAGCCACGGGGATGTGTTGCATTCCGAGTGGTGAGTTGCCTCAAAGTCGGGTAAACTTCGATGGTTGAAGGAGTTGCCGCATACCTGCCTTTTCAGGTTTCTTGGGGCACAATTTTTGGGGCTACCACTATTTTGACACATTCCCAATATATGGTTTTGGAGTGTACCCATTTTCTTGCTGGTGCTCAGCAGAGAATGAGGGAATGACCCCTATGAACCATCTATCCTATGGTTTCTTTGAAGGGAATCCCCCTCCGATTCCCTACCTATCGCACCAGCAAGTAGCACAGGTCTAAAGTTAGACAGTTAAAACAGGGCTCTGGATATTCCCACCTTCCACTTGAAAACAAAAGAAGCTACCACGGGAGGCTAACAAAATGTTTAAAACCACCAAAAGTGCCAGCAAGTGTTTGCACTCGTCGGGTTTCCCGTTTCTTGGCTCGCTTGCCGTGGGTGGCCAGGGCGGCAACTACGAGACGACGGGGGGGCACTCCAATCGCGCTGCCGGCGAATGGCGAGCGAGAGAGACGGGTTTGCGACCTGTGGCGGGTTGCGTCGGGTGTCGGTGTCCAAAGCAGGGAATCTTGGAGTCTCCATTTCAAGAATGGCTGGTCATTGCCCAAAATAAAGGAATCAAACCATTCAAGGGTCATGGATACTCCAGGATTCCCCTTTTTGCGCTGTGCCAAAGCTAGGATGACCCCGTGACTCTTTGGGCCAGAAGCCGTGGAGAACCGGATGCCAGGTGTCCTCGCAGTGAAGTTCTTGCCTGACGGAGCGTTGAGACCTGAGATCCAAGCGAGCAGACACCTCTGCAAGTGGACTCAGGGAACGAGGCTAAATGAAAGAAGAGGTTAAGCACTAGTCACTATAGTCCTCAAGGGAAAGCAGCAAACAGTCGCCTTCACAGGGAATTGAACAGGTGGCTGTGTAAACAGTGGCCGAGTGCTTTCAGTTACCACTATAGTAGGTGATCAGGTATGGCTACATCATGGTTCCCCTGGTTACCTGCTACAGTGGCTTGCCGGAAGATTTTCCGGGCATGGTTTCAACATACAACTTGGCCCTTGCCCTTTCCCTCTGCAGTCTCGCAGAAATTTCTGGCTCGATTCCATTCGGGCCTGGTCCGGCTCGGCTCGGTTCACATCGAGATCACGGGCGATGGGCTCCAGACTTGGCAGCCAGCACTCCAGGCAGAGAAATGCAAATGGAACCGGATCCGTTTGCACGAACCAAACAAGGATCCGTCTTTTTGTTAGCACCCTTGTTGGGGTTGGGTGAAAAGCAAGCCAAATGGAAACCAACCATTTTGGGGGGTCCGATTCTGAAAAAAAGACAAATCAAAACAGTGACTTTTCCAGTGTTTAGACTGGATAAACAGGAGCTAGGCCCCCAAGGTGCTGGCAGCTGACGGCAGTCGAGCAATCTCTGCTTGCGGCAGGGCACGGCAGTGGACCCAGGCCTTGGAGCTTTGGCGCGCGAAATCGGATGAGTTCGGCCACTCCAGCCTCGTCAGCGCCTGCGCGAAGTCGCAGGCCTGGGGCACGGCGATCGCAGTTCTCAGGTGTCTGGGGGAACGAAGAGCTCGGCTGAACACAGTGGTGCAGAATTGCGCGCTCAACGCATGTGGCCGAGCTGTGAAATGGACAGGCGCCTTAGATATTCTCTGCAACTTGCAAAGGCGCAACTGGGCGGATGCGCCTCATCATCCATGGCCTCACAGTGTTCTGAGCCATACAATGCGGGGTAGCATCTGAACGTACTCATACCCGTTTGACCCTCAGAGCAATGACCAAACAAATCCAAACCACATTGGGTAGAACATAGGTATTTCCACTTGTGTTCCTTTTCCGGGGTCCAAATGTCTCTCATTGGCCACCGCTTATTGGGTGTATAAGGTTGCGTACCTTTGGCTTCCGTCAGTTGCTGAAGCCAAGGTGTTCAGCTACAGCAGTGCAGTGAGCGCCTGTGAAAGGGTAGGCGCATGGCAGGAAGCTCTTGCAATCCTGCGTGCAATGGAGCGCCTGGAGGTGCTGCCAGATATCATGACTCATTGCCAAACTGGGCTTACCTGTTCACTGTTTCCCTTTTATTTGCCTACATGAGCAGCAAAATGTTGAGTTCCAAACTTGGCTTACCTTTTCACCTTTTGCCCTGTGGTGTTTACTTTCTTTGCCTATTTGAGCAGCAAAACGTTCAATTCCGGGAGTCGAGTCAGTCTGGGCAAGGACGTACAACAGCGCTATCAGCAGCTGTGCCAAAGGCACGCACTGGCAAGGCGCGCAGCACTTGCTTGCGTCATTGGCCACATGTCGCGCGTCCCAGTTGCCCAGTGGCACCTTTTTTTGCTTTGCGGGTAGTTTCCCCTTTAAAACCAATAGAAAGGTGCCCATGCCAGCACCCGCCACCCACTTTTTTTTAGACAGCACTTTGGAGATGAGATATGGGAAAACCGTTATTATTTGTTTTTGGGGGGGGTGGTGTTCCTGTTGATTTCCCTTTACCACCACCAGAAAAGCAAGAAACGGTCCCCTCAAGAAAAGACACACCCACGTCTTCCATGGGACTCCCCCGAGGTACGGCCGGATACCATCAGCTTCAGCAGCACGATCACGGCCTGTGAAAAGGCCGGCCAGTGGCAGCACGCGCTCTCGCTCTTGGAGCGGATGAGTCTGAGCAAGGAAGGTCAGGGCTAAGAACCCAAGTGGCCATGAGAGAGACGCACGGGTTGGTCTGCAAAAAAAAAGCCAGCATTTTTTTCTGGGGAAGGGGGGACGGCGATCCTGAAGCCTCGGTTTGGGTTAAATTTGGGGTCGCCCAAGCCAGTAATTTGTCATATTCCTTTATGGGATGTTGGATTAGGATTGGCCAGCCCTCCATTTTGAACAGCCCAGTACAAGATCCAACTTGGTTTTGCCATCTCCGAGAGTTTTCGACCACCCCATCGCAGGGTTGTGGGATCAAGGGGTTTATCCCCACTTCTGTGATACAAGGGAATCTCCCCCTTTATCTGGGGGAAAAAACATGGGAATCCCTTTCTGTTGTATCACAGGTTCGTGGATTCCATGTCCAGCCCTGCCATATGGGTATGGGTCAGAATGAAACCAGGGCACCGCAGGTTTTCGTCCTTTCCAGGGGTTTTCCCATTTTGGGGTGTTTCCCATTTTGACGGAACCCCGGCGATCTTCCGTGGCTGGTCGACCCTGCAGGTCCAGATGTGATCGCGTGGAGTAGCACCATCAGCGCCTGCGAGAAAGCCGCGCGCTGGAGGGAGGCCTTGCACCTGCTCTTCAGCATGCGCCAGCGACGCGCGCGAGCGGCGACTCGATGTGACCTTGCGGGTTTTTTTCCGGTTTGGAAAACCCACAGGGTGGGCTGTTCATGTTGGACCCAAAGGTCGTTTCTTTTCTGGAACCACAAAGGTGGGTTTACCATTTTGAAACCAAAAGTTTGGTTTCCGAGTTTAAACCTCTGTTTATGTCCATTTGGGCATGTGAGGACAACATATGTTTTGGAAGCACAATCAGTGCCTGTGCACGATCCACACAGACGCCCTTGGCCATGGAACTGCTTGATTGCATGGCCTCCTTTGGTCTGCAGCCAGATGCCATCAGCTATTGCAGCGCAATCACTGCATGTGAGAAAAGTGGAGCCTCGATTCGAGTGATGCGCGCATTCGCTGTCCAGAAGATACGAGAGTCCATGCAAGCCAGTAAGATAAAGACCTCGGCTTAGAGTAATCACCTCCGCTATCGCATGTCGATCTTAGGCATGCTGCATACTCCGGTCCACTTCCTTTTCGGGGTCATGCATATGGCTTGTAGGGCCTTCCAAGACCTGGGGCCAGGATTGTAATTATCCTCTGAAGCACATCACAAGTCTTACCCAGTGCTTCCATTTTCCACTAGGTAACCAGGGGAAGCCAAGGGGTAAAACCTAGGGATAAAACCTAGCGGGTCACCCGAGTTACTATACCGGCAGGCAGCAATGAGTGTCCCCTCAGAAAGCCTTTAGGCCAAAGGATTGAAAGAATCTCCCATGGCCAATGTACAGATCGATGGCTTTGGATCCCCTGTTAAGCAGCGCTGTTTTTGTTTTTGTTTCCTTGCCATCTTCCGCTCGGTTTTCACGATGTGGGGTGTTTCCATATTGTGGCCCCACTTTTTTTGGATGGTGCCATTCCAAGATGCCTCCAGGAATTAGTATCACCCGCCCCCCCTCTTTGGTGCTCAAAGAAAAAGGAAGTGAAAGGGAGACCCCCAAAATGGGCTGGGTCTTCCGTTTGACACACTCCAGCCACACCACAACTCAACTCAACTCAACTCAAGTCAACACAACTTAACACATCTCACACACACACAACTCAACTCAACTCAACTTATCTCAACTCAACCATACACCACACAACACACATCACCAAAAAAAAAAACACCCAGCCACGTAAGCCTTCGGGTTTCGCCCAGGCGACTGGCCCTTCGCCCTCTGGCTTCTACGCTTAGCCCTGGGCGTGGGCGCGGGGACGGTGGCCTTTAGCTCCGCGGTGAGCGCCTGCGGCGCGGGCGGGCAGTGGCAGAGGGCGGTGGCGCTGCTGCGGTGGATGGCCCTTGCCCAGGCGGGGAAGACGAAGACGGGGAGGGAAGCCTGGAGCATCGGACAGGAGGCGCCACAGGGCGCCTGTGGCTCAAGTAACCTCCTGGACTTCCTGTTGTTGTGCCTTTGTATGTGTTTCGTGGTTCCTGGACCATTGGAGGCCTCATCCTGTGGAACCAGGCTGCTAACTTTTTCCTTTTTTTTGGCGGAGAGAAAGGCTCGATCCCCACCTCCAACTGGTGAAAGTCATGCCCAGCCCCCCCAAGCAACCCTTTTTTTCTGCCGTTCGCCGCAAACACCGTCAAAAACCACAGAGAGACAGAACACGGGGGGTCCGAATGGAACCCTTACCCACCTGATGGTCCAGAAACCCTGAGGGGTGTTCAGGTTGTTCTTGGGGGGCGGTCTTTGGGTTCAAAAAGTAATGAGCCCAACGCCCTGCAGAAAGTGATCCAGGAGAACCCAAAAAAAAAAGAAGCAGGCCGAGCTCGAGCAACAAACCCAGGAAGGTCCTTTTTGCGAGGATCCAACTCGTATTTCAACAATGAGATAAGCAGAACCGGAGAACAGAAGGAAGAAAGGAAGCAAGGAAGAAAGGAAGGATGCAGGACATATTAAAGGGCCGTACTGAGTTTTCTAACCAGCTGAAGTGTCTGCAAAGCCAACTCACTAAAGTGGAACTCTGAGTTGTTCAAATTCTATTCCTTATGCCAGATTGTAGTTTGCGTGGTGTCCGGATGACGGATTAGGATGGATTCCCCCCTTGGATCTAGGAACTCCACTTATCTAGGCCTTATTTTGGACCTCTAGGGGTGGCTTCTGACTGCACTGAGCGGGTCGGCCAGCGTGCATTGCTCAGTGCTCAGCCGCTTCTTTTTTCCTTTTTGGCTGTTGTTTTTGGGGGCCTCTCTTTTGGGCAACCCAAAGGAAACCAACCATCTTTGGGATTCAATTTGGAGAGAAGCCCCGGCTCGCAAATCTTCCATCCAACAACTTGGGATCTCCCACGTTTATGTTGGTGCCTTTCAGAATCTAGGATGACTCACAACTCTTCAATCCATCTCGCTTAGACGGTCCCAGCCAGCAAAAGGTGCGGGTATCCGGCCTGTTTCTTTACCACAGCTTTGGTAGACCACTTTAGTACCAGGTTTTGGTTCGACTCCCATGAAGTTGAGCCTCGAAGCCAGGTGGCGCCAAACCGAGTGACCTTGAATGCTGCCATCAGCGCCTGCCAGGGAGCCCAGAGGTCCCAGACTTCTTCTATTTGGCCTTTTGTTGCACCTTGAAACGCACAGAAACCAAGAAACGTCTATCTGATATGGCACTGAAGTGGGAGAGTACCTACAAGATTGATTTCCTCTTGGGACCATGTCCCTGTCAGGGGCGAACAGAGGGTAGTTCGCTCTGGAGGCAAGTCCAATGGGGTTTTGAACACAGCGAGTGCATGAGGAGACGTTGAGGCCAGGCAACAGATGTTCTCGCTTAGTTTGAACTAATGTTCTTTTTTAGGTGGACTGAGTAAGGCACAGAATCCAAGAAACGAGTTGTTTTTTTTTTTTTTAAGCTGAGCAAATGTTGTGAGGAATGTTGCTGCCTGTCGTGCAGGGTGCTGAACTGAATTAGGTAAAGAAGCCCCTTATTTGTTCCATGTTGATTTGCAGGGGAGTAGTTCCCATCCATCAGAGAAGGTGTGTGACAAAACAAATCCCTTCAAGGGTCACGGAGAAGGCAACTGACTATTTGGATGGGTTTCCCAATTTCTTGTTTGGGAAGCTCCTTTCTAAAGGGAAATCAACATGAGATCTCAAAACCCTCACCTAACTTTGAGTGACACACATTCACGGATGAGGTGAGAGCTGTGGCGAGTGGAGCGTCGCACTGGGACTCCTTGTGTCAATGGGCGGCGGCATTGGTGCTGACGTGGTCAGCTACAACAGTGCCATGAGCGTGTGTGACTTGGCGGGAATCGAATGAGAAATGCAGCCGGATCAGCCTTGATTTTCACGAGACTCAAACCCGCCTGGACGTTGCGAAAGTTTGTTGACCTCCTCCCACCAACCCCCTCCCCCAATTTAGTAATAGTGAAAGTATTCTCTCTGCATGAGAGGCGTAGTTGTGCGCACTGAGCGGAATTGAACCCGCCAAGCGGGTTTTCCGAGTTTCCCCATGAATGTTCTTTTTTTTTTAAGAAACTTGTTTTGGTGTCCCCTGTTTTTCTCGTGGTCTTGGCTTTCCCCTGGTCTGCATTATTCGGTTTTCCCTCGCGGTCCATAGGTTTCCACTTGGGTTCCCATGGGCTAGGCGAGAAAAGCTCGCAGTGGCAGCAAGCTGCGCAGCTTCTGAGCAGTATGCCGGCGGCTCGTTTGGACCCCAACGACGCTGGGCAAGACAGTGCGCCGTGTCGTTGGCTCCATTCCTCCACTTGCTTAAGAATATGTGTCTTTCCATCTCTTGGTTTGAAAGGGAAATCTATCACTACTGGAAATATGTTCATTTTTCCCGGGGGCTTAAGCCAATGCAAGCTTTGCGATTGCTCTGAATTAAAGAACCAAGCCTCAAGGAACAGTTTCTCAACCTTAGACGCCTGGTTGGTTGGTATTTACAGGCAAAAGGACATTTGAGACTCCTATTTTGAGAAACACCCTAGGGTAGAAAGTGTCTTTGGTTTTTGTTTGACACCTTTGCCGACCCATGGCTATGGGTCAGGGTCTCAACCCTTGGAGACGCACGCATGCGCGTGTCCAAAGTGTCTATGGATGTACTCGCTTTCTCATACGACGTGTTCATGTATGTGTACATTTGCAGCAAGGCTGATAGACCACAACTATGAGACCACGTCTATGCCAATTCTGAAAGGCATGCTGCTTCTGCTGCCAACCATGCGCAGCGCATACGTGTCTAAACAGGGCGACCCCAAACATGGTATTTCTTTTGATTTCCGCTTTAACCAACTTGAAAAGTAAACGATACATCCATATGTTGTGCCATCCGCGACACATGTTGGCTTGGTGATTCAGAACGGCGTTGAGTGTGACATGTCGGCCTCAGGTATCCTTGCAGACATGGTTTTTTTTGTTGAATATTTAACGATCCGCACCCTTTTAAGTTAGTTTAAAGGAAAGCCACCGTGTTGAGGCTGCCCGGACTGTTACACATGCCATGTAGTTTGGACAGTGTGCGCTGCTCCCCGGCAATTTCTGTGTCCTGTTCCGTTCACGTGTCTTACTAAGCGCCAACTCCTTCCATGGATCGTCGAACGCTGGACATCTTGTCAAGCGCGGGAATGGTTGTCGCTTCCAGGGAATGTTCAAGCATGGATTTCGGAGGTATGGAGCTTATAATTGTCACCCGGAGGAAGGGTGTGTACTGCCTTGCAAGCTTATATAGTTAGTGCAACAGTTGTGTTGCGGCAAAATCCCATTTCCATGATACCACAGTGTTGAAATACGTGTCGGCACACATTCCCATCGGATACAACATCTTGAATCAAGTCCGCAGACACATCGACTGATTCACTGCATTAGGGCGTATCCTTCTTGAAAATAGACTTCTACGGGTTGTTTTGAATCAAAGGCACACCTCTTTTCTGTTTTTTCCCCTTATGTTTGGACCCCGCCACTGTTTCCATCCCTATCCAGCCGAGGTCATCAGCTATAGCGCGGCGCTCAGCGCGTGCGCGCGCTCGTGCGCCTGGCGCAGCGCGCTGGGGCTGCTGGGCGCAATGCGCGCGATGCGGCTGGGGCCCAACGCGGCCTGCGCCGCGCACGGGACCGCGGCAGTGGAGCAAGGCGCACGGGAGCGGGACGCGAATGGCGACGGGACCGGGGTGTGCGGATTTTTTTTTGGTGAGCGGCTGGGTGCGCCTTTGGTTTTCTGTTGGCCAAAGGACGACCATGTTTAGTTATATGAAGTGTCCTCATTTTGTGGAAGGCTTGTGTTTAGGACGCATGTTTGTGATACCACAGTTACCCCTTCATAAGTGATAAAGTGGTTTTGGAGATGATTGCCTTGGCAGTACAGAAAGAGTGAGTTTCCCGCAACCATGCAAGGCAGGGGAAGGATGGGCGTCCCACGCGAAACTGGAGGAAAGCAGAAGGCAAGCAACGGAACCCAAAGGCAACCATGTGTATTAGGACAGTGGGCAACCACAAAATGGTGAGTGTCCTGGTTTCCTCTGTTGCAATGCAAAAGGGGGTAACCACAAACCCGGAAGTTGCCGCAATGAGGACCTTTTGAGGGGAACCTCCTTCTCCGGACAAGAAATTGTAAGGGCTGTACCATGGTTCACGAAAGTATCATGTCACTGATTGAGCATAGTTTGTATTGAGCTTTGCCTGGCAACGACTTGGTTTTACAAGCCCCATATGATCCACGGGCAGCTCACTCGAGGTGCTCAGTTTGGATGGATGCTCTGGCTAATGAGATCCGGTGAGCTGAGCGTGCTGGGAGCCTTGAGGCAATGCTTCTCCGGGGTGTGAGACACGTCAAACCGATTCGTGTAGACACACACTTTACACAAACCCAATGCGGATATCCACTGGTTACAAACCCAATGCGAACATCCACCGGCTTGATTCTTTGCATGAATTTGCGACACTTTAGTACCTGGCTTTGAGTGTGGCTCTAGGCAGCTCGCTCAAAGCGCACTAGCGAGCCCAGACAAAGGTCCCAAAAAGGGATTGATCTCCGACTTCAGGTCGGTTTCTAGCCCTTGTGGCCTGGTTGTTGCTGTTCTTGTTGGTACTGGTAGTTGTTTGACGGTTTAAAGTTTTTGCTGTTGGGTGCATTCAGATCCGTTGCATTCAGCTCCGTTTGTACCAAACCGTTCTTGTTAATAGTTGTGCAGATCGGTTGCATTCAGTTTCGTGATGTATTTCTCTAATTCGTGCAAAGCCAAGCGCCAACGATAGGTCGAAGCCTTTCCATGGCAAATGGCGCTCGGCGCGTGGATTTCACGCCGGTTACAGTTCGGGCATTTCAGGCAAAGGCGAAGCTGTCGTTCCGTCCCGCCGTGTGACCTGTTGCTCACCAGGGTTCCCATTTTTGTGATTTTCCCTTAGACGTTGAGCCTGGGAGCAACTGCATTCCGCCAGAGTCTTTGGGTTAAATGTTGGGAGTAATGAACAAATGGGCAACTGACAAAATGTGTTTGGTAGTCTATTCATGTCAATGTCAATTTCACCCACAAGACCCCGGCTTCCACATTTTTGCTCATGTCGTGCCCTTTTGGCCCAGGCCCTGGGCGCTCATTAGCGGCGGCTGGGACAATACCGCCTGGGACGCCAAGCGGGACGGACGGTGAAGGCAGAACCAAACGGCCCTCCAAACAGTATGGGTCCCAGTTGGGGGCCAAAATTTATCTCCTTTTGGTTGGAGGTTTCCCCCAGTCAAAGCCCAAACGAGTCCCGTTTTTCTGGGGTCACTGTGGAAGAAGTGGGTACGTTTGGAGCATTTCCTGCACCCTTATGATGAAATGATGAATTTCTCGGCTTGTTTGGATCACACCACAGCCCTCAAATGAGAGTTCCTTTTGTAGTGGTTCCGGAAACTCTCAAAATGCACGGAGGATTCTTGAGATTGTGTGATTGCTTTGGCCTCATGGGCAATGAGCACTGCGCATGGCAGTTCGGGCATCGCGTGTCAGGTCCAATATTGGGATTTGAGAGCTGGCCGGCATCTGAGGGCATGCATCGCCACGAGCTGCTCCCGCAACTTTCGGAAGGCAAATTGGGTCCCTAGCAGAAAAGTCATCGAAGCCCCACATGCCACCCGCTACAGGCTTGACGTTTTTGTGAAGAAGTTTATGTCTTTCAATTGGCCGCTGCCTGTTGTGGCTGGCGCCCTGCACACCTGCGAAGGCCATGCTGTGAAGGCCATCCTTGGGCCGAACATCTGCGGAGACGCACTCGCTGGGAGCTGAGCGGCATGCCGGGACATTGCAGATGAAGAAGATGGAACCCACGCCTTCATGCGCAAAGGAATTTCTGTTTGGAGGGGCCGTCTTTTTGGCTTCCATGTGAAATTTGCAGAAAAAAAAGGTAGAGACTTTAAAGCAAAAACAAGTCGCAGGTAGGATGCATGTATCAGGTGTTGCACTCCTAGAAGAATGAACTTGTGTAGACTTTTCCCAAATCAGTCGGATTGCGCGCGGGTTGGCTTGCTTCATTCGTTTTCTCGAGGACGTGTCTACAGATGGTCGGCACATCCTGACGGGCAGCTACCGAGACCAGGCAATATGCAAGTCAAAACTGAAGCACCCCTTGCTCCTTTCTGATTTCTGGTCCATGAACTCCATGAACGCAAAAACTTGGTCCAGGTGACTAGCAGTTTTTGCATTTGGCTTGTTAGGCGTTTAGCCGTCCTTCAATCCTTTTTGTCGTGTTCCTTGGGTTCCGTCCGCCCAAAGCTTTGGGGTCTTTGCCCAAAGCACGCAAGTGGTTCGGAGCAGCTCCAAGGAACGTGGTGGAAGGGTTACGAACTCTTTTGAGTTTGGTTCCCAGTACCCCAAAAGGAAACCAGACATTTTCACATTTTGGGGGTGCCCCTTTGACGCCCCCTTTTGTTCCGGCAGAACCAGCTGGAGCTTTGGGACCTGGCCGAAGAGAAGCGTTTGAAGGCGCCGCTTGCTCGTTCGTCGCCGTTTTGGGGACGCAGAAAGGAACCTCCCCACAAAAAGATGTGGCCCCCTCCTGGTTGAGGGTTCTTTTGCAGGTGAGCCACAATCAAAACCCGGGTAGATGAAGGTTTGTAAGGGACAATCCCAACCATAAATACGTGCAGCCGCCTTCTGAATTCTTTACACGGTTCTGGGTAGAGCATTTGAATACCAGGTTTTGATTGTGACTTAGATGATGTTGAGGGAAATATGGGGAGCCCTGATTTGAGTGGGTCCTCTTGTTTCTTTGGAGGGTTCCTCCAAAAACCACTTGCGGAAGGGCCATAGATAATATCAATTGGGTTGCAGGGTGCTTTGAAACCACATTCGGTCGCAAGAGTACTTTTGGTGAGGGTGCTGCAGTAGTTTGCCATTGGCAGGGAAGTAATTCCTTTCAGAGGCATTTGTTCTTCCAGGTACCCTCCCCCGGTTAGCAGGACACAATGGGGGTGCGGGGTACGTTAAAACTAGGTTCAGTCATACAGATATGATCATACACGGTGTGTGCGTGATTGTTCAGACCCTTTCTGTCGTTTCTTTGTTTTGGTTGTGTTTTGTGAGGCGTGTTGATTGGTTGTGTGCGTCTATTTGCAGGTAGTTCGAGCTTAAAGAAACCCACCAGTCTCTTCTTGGCTATCACCTCTTGTGGCATGGCGACCCAAAAGCACCCCATTGGGGGCGCATCTGGTGTTCAACACCCGCCTGGATTCGGCACAGAGAAATCCCCCTGAAGATGGTGGGGAGCCTCCAAAATAACAAAAAAGACTTTGGTTGTTCTGTTGCGCTTGTTTCTTGCAGCAAAGCGTACGTTCAGCAGTGGAGCTCCCTGATTTAGAACAGTACTAAAGGCTCGGAAACAGTTCTTGAAAACAATCATTTTCTCTGGAAATATTGTTTGGCCGTTTGACACTCGTTGCAGGGGTATGTCCACTTTGGTTTATTCCACAAGACCATACTGAGCAGTCACCCCAACAAAGTATAAGTCCGAAGTACACTTGAGCTGGGCACTAGTTTGCGGTTTCCCATCTAACAGTAGACCAGGTGAGTAAAATGCCGGGGTTCTTATTGATCTCGATATAGAGACTTGGTTCGTTATTGGCGGCTTCTATCAGCCTCCTCGAAACCTTGGGAAGCATCTGCATGAGCCCATGATAGCACCCTGGCCCAATTCTACATCGGCAACTGCTTATCAAAGGTTGGTAAGTGGGTGTGCGTCAAAAATAGAAAGGCCCACTTGATCTACGAGACATTGGCATAATGGTTTTGGTTCCCCCCCGAAAAGCATGTGTGTGTATATATATATATATGGCCTTGGTTCAAAACCAATGGTACCATTTTGGGATAGGTGCACCACCCGTTTTAGTGAAATTAGTGGGGATTGGGATGTTCACTGGGGATACGGGGTTTTGACCCATGGCCATACGCATATATATATATATATATATAATTAGGACTCGCAATTTTTGTGGAGCTCCGAGTGTTGCGTGGCCGACCCCCCCCCCCCCTCAATGAACGAACACGATGATAAGGTTTCCTATAAACTGGGGGGGGGGGGGCGGTCTCCTGCAAAACTATGTCATATTGTTGGGTAGGCTTATGTGAGCATATCATTTTCTGCCTACTGTACATCAGATGCGGGCAAGTTACAGGAGCCATGACCATGCCCGCATATAGGGAGTTTTGACTACAGCACATGGGTATGCGTCCTAAGAATAGGGGACACCACAAGATGGTTAGTTTCCTCAGTTCCCTCCAAACAAACCCCAACAAGGGTACCCGCAACATACCTACTGTGGATGGACAAAATCTTGCACCAAATTGAAACCAGAGGAAACCACTGTTTGTTGGTATTTACAGGGGAATCATTATTTGCAGGTAGGTGCATGATTTCGTCCATCCACAGTATGGTTTAACCCCCAGACGTTGATAAGGTGTTGGTTCCAAGTGGGGACTTAGCCCCTCCTGGGAACTGGAGCCACAGGCTGGGTGGACCAGCCGTGTGGACCATTGGGTTTGTGTGTTCCCTTGCGGCCCTTGCATGGATTTGTGGTGATGAAATGTCCGGGAGCCTTGCTTCATTGCCCGGTCCTGACGAAATCCGTGGTGGCCCCACTTTGAAACCATGGGAAGCTTGGTGGCTCCCAGCCAGTTGGTTTAGTGGTAGTTTCCATTTAAACCACTAAAAGCTCTCAACTTTTAGCGGGGGATTTGAGCGCAGCCCAGAAAGGTTTCTTCTGTGGTGCGCACGGATTGCGTCCCTCGGCATGCCCATGCCTTAAAGTCCAGGTGGTGCCGTGGCGTCATGGCGGCCCTCAGGCACGAACGGAGGGAAAACCGCGGTTCCAGCGAAGGGCTTGCGGTGAAAGGCAGCCCAAAATGGGCGCTCTCAAGCGCCTGTTTTCAACATTTCCCCCCTTTGAACCTTGGAAACTCGGGACAAATTGGCCCAACGGACGATGTTTGAAACCTAAGAAGGGGAAGTACACGACGTGGGAAATCTTGGCACAGCCGTGGGAAGTTGCGTCTTAGGCCAACAAAACTTGTTTGGTTTGCTTTGCGTAATAAACAGGGAATGGAAGTGAACAACCTATAGCCACTTCACTTACTTGTTGCTGGGGTTCGCGACCGCACCGATGCCCTCACGGAAGTGGGTCACGCCAACGCTTGGCTTCCTTTTGGTGTTCCTTGAACCGCCCTTGAAAAGGCAGTTGTTTCTATATATATATATATACACACACATATGTATTTGGCGACATCCATTTAACACCTTTGGATTGCTGGCGGTGACCACAGGCTGAGGTACCCGGTCAGTTTCTATCCGATTCAGCGCCAGGATCCA